CCTCACTCTCTCTCTCTATAGCCTTCTCACTCACAGATTACATACACTCTGTGTTTCCTTGTACTCAGACCCTCCTCCTCACCTTAATTTATACACAACTGAGGGAATACAAAGTCAAGAAAAAAAGTTATTGGGCTGCCAACTGCCAACTACCATCTTCCCTTTTCCCTGCTACTTCTTGACTTAGAGAGCCAACCAGTCAACCTCCAACTACTCCTCCATGTAGGATGGAGTTAACAATTCTCCCCCCTTCACGCCCATATGGATAACTGGCTTCTTCTTGAAGTCCATCCCGGTCAGATTCTTGCAAACTTCCAGTTTGTTTCTCGTGACAACCTTGGTCATCATGTCAAAAAGATTCTTGTCCGTGTGAATCTGCACCAGCTTCATCAGTTGCTTTTCCATCACTTCTCGTATCCAATGATACCGGACATCAATGTGCTTTGTACATGAATGGTACATGGAATTCTTGCTCAGATCAATTGCACGCTGACTATCACAATGTACCTTGTACTCTTCCTGCTGTAAACCAAATTCTTGGAGAAACCGCTTTAACCACAATGTTTCCTTTCCAGCATCTGTGGCAGCAATGTACTGTGCCTCTATTGTAGATAAAACAACACACTTTTGTAGTTTGGACTGCCATGAAACAGCTCCCCCTACAAAGGTGAATAAAAATCCTGATGTAGACTTTCTACCAACAAGATCACCCACCATATCAGCATCTGTAAAACCCTCCAAAATTGGTTTAGCTCCCCCAAATCATAGACACATCTTTGAAGTTCCTTTCAAGTACCGAAGAATCCATTTGACTGCCTCCTAATGCTCCTTTCTTGGATTGGCAAGGAATCTGCTCACAACGCCAGCTACATGAGCTCCTTTCCCTTCTGAGTACACACTATTGAATACATTACACTTCGTACTTCGGAAGAATAAGGGATTGCCTCCATTTCTTTCCTTTCAGAGCTGGTCGTGGGACACGAATGCATTGTCACCTTGAAATGGTTGGCCAGTGGTGTGCTGACTGGCTTGACATATTTCATGTTGAACCTTTCAATCACCCGTTAAACATATTTCTTCCTTGACAGCCATATCTTCTTGGCTTTCTTGTCACGAACAATCTTCATGCCCAAAATCTGTTGTGCTGGGCCTAAATTCTTCATGTCAAAATACTGCGACATGTACTTTTTCAACTTGTTGATCATAGCAGTATCCTGTCCGATGATCAGTATATCATCGACATATAATAGTAGGACGATGAAGTTTCCATCCGAAAACCTTCAAAAATATACACACTGGTCTGCTACCGTTCTTGTGTACTCGTGATCCACCATGAATGAATCAAACTTCTTGTACCATTGTCTCGGCGCCTACTTCAGGCCATAGAGACTCTTCTTCAGTTTGTAGACTAGATTTTCTTTTCTTTTAACTTCAAATCCTTCTGGCTGCTCCATATAGATCTCTTCCTCCATGGCACCATGACGAAAGGTAGTCTTGACATCCATCTGTTCTACCTCCAGATTCAAGCGAGCTGCTAATCCCAGAGCTACTCGAATGGAAGTCATCTTCACAACTGAAAAGAAGATCTCATCAAAATCAATTCCCTTCTTCTGCCCAAAACCTTTGACCACCAAGCGAGCTTTATGCTGCAATATTTTTCCGTTGCCATCTTTCTTCAATTTGTACACCCATTTGTTTTTCAATGCCTTCTTGTCCTTTTGAAGTGAAACAAGCACATAAGTGTGGTTCTTTTGCAAAGAACTCATCTACTCCTTCATGGCTTGCATCCATCAATCTCTCCTCCTGAACACCTTCTTGTTCATTGGGTCCCACAACTTGTACCCAAATGCTGCATCTGAATAGCCCACAAATATACATGGAGTGGACTTGTCATCAAGCTTCTGTCTGTTTTCTTTGGAGATGTGTGCGAACGCCTTACATCCGAAGACTCTCAAGTGAGAATATGATACCTTTCTTCTGGATCAGACTTCCTCAGGTATCGCAAAATTCAACGGGACTGAAGGTGACCTGTTGATTAGGTAACAGGCTGTACGGGCGGCTTCAGCCCAGAATGACTTTGGCAACTTTGCCATTCTGAGCATGCATCTAACTCTTTCAATAATAATGCAATTCATCCTCTTTGCCACACCATTTTGTTGTGGGGTATTGAGAACTGTTATCTCGTGCTGGATACCTCTACTGGCACAATATGCTTCAAAAGCATTGTAAGTGTACTCGCCACCATTGTCTGTGCGAAGACACTTCAACATTTTCTCAGTCTCTCTTTCCACCATTGCATGGAACTCCTGAAAGTGTTGGAATACCTCATTCTTCATCTTCAGGAAATACACCCACAACTTCCTTGATGCATCATCAATGAAGGTTAGAAAATACTTGTGGCCACCGAGTGACTCTACTTCGATTGGGCCACAAACATCCGAGTATACCATACTGAGCAATTCTGTTTTCCTCTTGCTCGTTGAACTGAATGATACTCGATGCTGCTTGCCATAAAGGTAATGATCACAAGGCTTTAGGGCACTCCCTTTGGATAAGGGTATCTTGGATTGCTTTGCCAATAGATGCAATCCTTTTTCACTCATGTGAGCCAGTCTTTTGTGCCATAAGTTTGGTGACTCATTATCTTCTGCTGCATTAAGACTTCCCCAGAAAGATCTTCGTTTGAGTCTTGTTCAGTGTTGAAGACATCTCTCCTCTGGCGATTATCAAAGCTCCTTCTATCAGCTTCCAACGGCTATTTCTGAATGTACTTGTATAACCTTGTCAGTCTAGGGCTCTTCCGGAGATAAGATTGAGGCATAAATCTGGAACATGCCTCACATCTTTGAGAACCAGTTTGTATCTGACATTAGTCTGAATACTAATGTCTCCAATGCACACAATCTTCAAATAGTTAGAATTTTCCAATTGAACAGTGCCAAAATCTCTAACGCTGTACGAGTTAAAGAGTTCTCTATGGGAAGTGGTGTGATAGGATGCATCTGTATCACCCACTCTGTATAGATGTGGTCAGCCACGTGAAGGCAATCCTTCTCTTCACCAACTGCAAGAAGTCTTTCATCAGTTGTTGTGGCTGTCATGTTCTCATCTCCCTTTGACTTACTGCTTTGGCCTTTATCTTTCCGGCTTGGATAGTTCCTCTTTATGTGACCCTCCTCGCTATAGTGAAAGCAAGTGAAGCTAAAGTTACCTTGACTTTTACTGTCTCTGGATTTACTCCTATTGTTCCATCTGCCTCTACTTTTGCTTCTTCCTCTGCCTCTTCCTCTACATCTGTCTCTGCCTCTATCTTCTGTGACAAGAGCATGGGACTAATTACCTCCCATGTCTTTCCTCATTGTCTCTTTATTGTACGCGGCGTCTGTGACTATGCTCATGGTCAGGTTCCTCTCTGGTGCAGAGTTACTGAGAGAAACCACCAATGTCTCCCAGCTATCTGGTAAAGAACTGAGTAGTAGAATGGCTTGCATTTCATCATCCAAGGACATCTTGACGGTTGCAAGTTGATTCACTAGATTCTTGAATTCACTGGTGTGCTCGGCGACAGACACACCATTCTTCAACTTCAGATTTACAAGTCTTCTCGTCACCAAGGCTTTGTTTCGGGCTTTCTTTGACTGGTACATTGTTTCTAACATTATCCGAAGGGCATATGCATCTATCTCCTTGGCGACATGGTGGAACACACTGTGGTCTATCCATTGTCTGATACAATCGATAGTCTTCCGGTTTATCTTTATCCAGTCTTCATCTTTCACTTCTTTCGATTTAACCCCTTTTAGAGCAATAGGGCCAAATAGGTCTTTATAATATAGGATGTCTTCCATCCGCGGCTTCCAGATTGCATAATTGGAAGGATTCAACTTAATCATGGATCTTGAATTTGAAGTAGGTTCTTTCATCATTTTCGTACTTTTTACAGAAACTCTGATTCAATAATCTGACCATATGGATCTCTTCGGAATACTCCAAATAGTTGGAAACCACTATTGGATCATCAAAATCGGACTTCAAATGGCTCAGATCTAGCCAAAATAAGTTCGACGGTTTAGATCTGCGAATGTACCTTAGCCGCGTAGCACTGGATAATCCCTCTGTTTTTAGGTCGGGTCGGGTCGGGTCAGCCCGACAGGTTGACCATTTAACAAATGTGCTGACGTATCAGACACATGGCGCTGACGTGACGCTTACGTGTCGATGACATGGCGTTGGCGTGTCAATGACGTGGCGCTGATGTGCCGCTGATGTGGCAGGCACGTGGCTCTGACCTGGGCTGATGTGTCGATGACGTGACTGCCAGATGGTATGTGACATAACGGTGACGTCACAAACATGTGCACACCACTCTCCTTCTTCTATTAGCCGCGCGTCCGGCATGTGCCTGAGACTGGTGTGACGCGCCGGTACTGTCAACGACGCGTGTGGCAGGTGTCTGAGACTGAGACTCACGCATCTTCTTTAAGTGGCACGTGAGAGCACGCAGAAGTTTGTTTGGGGCTTGGCTTTGCAGTTTTGGACTCCTCTCGTTGAGAGCTTCCTTCTTGTATGCTTAAAAGTGAATTTCGAGCAACTTGGTTTCTGGAAAATTTTGAAAAACACACCCTATTTTTCTAAAAATCAACTAACAAGGCTCTGATACCACTTGTTAGGATTAGACACACTCAGAAATCAATTACACACAATAACACAAGAGATTTACTTGATTCGGCAATAGCCTACGTCTACAGGAGAGATATCCACTATAGAATTTCCCGAAGGGAGTTTACAGCACTCACACCTGACTCTCTCTCTGTAGCACTCTCATTCATAGATTACATACACTCTGTGTTTCCTTGTACTCAGACCCTCCTCCTCACCTCAATTTATACACAACTGAGGGAATACAAAAGTCAAGAAAAAAAAGTTATTGGGCTGCCAACTACCATCTTCCCTCTTCCCTCATACTTCTTGACTTGGAGAGCCAACCAGCCAGCCTCTAGCTACTCCTCCATATGGGCTGGAGTTATCACCTTAGTCGCCGCCATAACTTTACCGCTAACCACCCCTCCAAACACATGTCCCTGTTGATCTGCAAGAGTTATACCAGAAGAAAAAGAACCACCAGAAGAAGAAGAATTAGCAGAAGATGATGATGATGGTACTGATGAACCCAGAAATGTTCCGCTGACAGAGATAATATTGAATTAGCTATGTAGGGTCAGCGACGGCACGCGAGAAAATGGGTTGCGGAGAGTGACGTTGAACACAGACCCAGAAGTACTTATTATGGTTACACTACCCAACTGACGTCTACGCTCGAACTGAACCACCGTGTCTATGACATCTGACCTGGCGGCAATCTCCAGCACCGTCGCTTTCATGCTGCCGTCGCCGTCTCTGGTGGTTTGGATAACTGCTAGTTTCGGTTTGTTTTTGAAGCTTGGTGGACGGCCACGAGGCCTCTGATTGGCGCCCTCCGCCATGGCGGCAGGGCCGTCGTTGAGAGCGAGTCCGGGCTTTATTGATCAGATAAAATGAGGGCCATTTTGGTGGCTTTGCTCTTCTTCTCCTTCTTCGGAGGTTTGGGAGAGAGATTGAGCTTGGGAGAGAGATGATGGCCCAGAATATTCAGCCATTTTTGAGTGACTGAAAGTTTGATTCTTAAGAGAGAGGCTCTGCCCTAGAGAGAGAGAGAGAGATAGAGAGAGAGAGAGAGAGAGGAACTGACTGAGAGATTGGGAGTGACAATGTGGTTGGTTAGGTTAGCTGCTATTTGATGGGTGTTTTATGCGAGAGGTTTGGTGGAATTTTCTTTGGTTAGAATTTAATAGGGTATGGGTTGTTTGGGAAGTGTTAGATTAGTATACTATTTGATTTTTTACGAAAAAACGTGAAATGCGAGTTGGGTTTGAAGTGATGTGGTAGAGCACAGATATGACCTAAATAAGATGATTATAACCTAAATAAGATAATGTACTAAAATAGCATGTGCTAATTTAGCATATGCCAATCAAGCACTTATCCATAAATTTCTTTTTATCTATTTAATCTTATTTATTTTTTTTATTATTTTATGTTCCAATAAGTCTTATGTCAGCGTGAATATTTACATTGTTAAATATAAATATTCACATTATCAAATTGCTAAGCGTGCAAAAAATATTTGTAAAGATAAAATTACCTGTAAAATAATTTAAATATAATAATTAAGATTAGTAGATCAAATATTCAAATAATAAAACTTATTGAAATATAAGAATATGTTATAAACTAACTGCATACAAGTACTTGAAAAATTATTTCTTAATAAATCTCCCAATTTAATAATCAAAAATTAAAATTACTTATTTTCAAATTTTTAAATGAAAAATAATCCATCCCCTAATTTTGTCTCTTAAGTCCACCCACTACAACAAAACTAACTATTTACGGCATCATATTTGCGGCATGCATTAAATGCACGTCGTAGTTAGTACATTGTACAACATTTTTTTTTTTGCAAACTATTAATATTTTGTCAATTACAGCATACATATCATGTAAGTCGTTAATTCATATATTTATGGCATACAAAAGTATGCCGTAAAAAAAATATGTTTTGACGACTTACAAAAATATGTTGTAAAATATTTACACTTAAGACGATATATATTTCATATCATAAAATATTATGACTTTACACAACATGTATTAGTATGTTGTGAAAATTTTTACTAAAAAAAATTCAATCAGATTTTTTTGTTTTTTTTAATTATTATTTAAATCATAAGGAAAATCATCAACATGCAAAATTTACCATTTTGTGAAACACTTTGTGCTTAGTGACCAGTAGCTTGTTGCAGAACAATTTCTAAAAAACATCAAGTTAATTAATTATTAATTTGCTATCCTCGGGACATTCAATGGTATAGACAAACATTATTATTATTATTATGGTATAGATTGTTGGTTGATTGTATCTAAAAGGTCAGATCTTTCTTGATTGATTTTTGTTTTTTGGTAATGTTTTTTAATCTAAAATTTCACTCGAAGAATTTTCATTTTTGACGACTAAATTTTTAGTTACCAAAAGTCAATTTTTAGTCGTTGAAGGGCTTTAGCGACTAAATTTTTTGGTCGCAAAATTAGTAGCCGAAGAGTAGTTGGGAAAATTAATTGGCGACTAAAATTATTTTAGTTGCCCAATGTATTCATTTGCTGACTAAATATTTAGTTGCCAAAAGATTGGACATTAAATTAAATTAGATCCTTTTCGGTGACCAAACTTTAGTCGCCTAAAGTCTCACCTTTTTAGCTACTAAAATTATAGTCGGCAAAGAGTTCTTTTTTGACTACTAAAAATTTAGTCACTGAAAGTCCCCATCTTTGGCTACTAAATATTTAGTCGCCTAAAGTTCTACATTTTTTGCTACTAAAATTTTAGTCGGCAAAAGTGTGTTTATAATTTAGCTTTTTGTTTTTAGCTACAAAATATTTTAATCACCAAATGTTTGATTTTCTTTTGGCTACTAAAGTTTTAGTCATCAAATGTCTGCTTTTTTTGTGGCTACTAAATATTTAGTAGCCAAAATTTTTTTTTCATTTTATTTTTATTTTTAGCTGCTAACTATTTAGTTGTTAAAAATATTTACATCCTTTTTTTCTACCTATTGGGGGTGTTTAGGAACTTAGTTTTTGGGTTTTTTTTTTTTATTTTTTTTCACTACAAGACAAATGTTTTACAAAACCAAAAAAAAAATAAATCCAGACAAAATATCACAAATGGTGAGTTCTACCAAAGTTTTAAAATGCGGTCGCAACCATTACATAACGGCTGTGATGGTTACTTCCATCCATTATGGCTATAACGGTGTGACGAAAATTCACATGTGTAACGGTCGTTTCGATATTACGTAACGGCCATAATAGTAACGTAAAAGTCGCAACGGTCCATTACATACTTTTACAATATTCTGAATAGTTTCCTTTCTAAAAAAAAAATCAACAAAAAAAACAAAAACTTACACAAAAAAAAAAAAAAAAACAAACTCTCTCTCTAACAAGTTTGTGGTGAAGATTTGATAGAGGTGCTAGTGGATTATGCTCTTCTATGGCCGCTGGATTCGGCTGCATTCAAGGTTAGGAGTGTATTCTCACTCTTCCACTGAATTTTGAATTGTTCATTTCTGCCATTTCTGATTGATGCATCTATTTTATTTGTTTATTTATTTTTGTGTTTTTGAGTCTGTTTGAATGAGTTTTTAAATTTTTTGGTCTTTTATTTCACTCAATTATTGGTGTATGTTATGAGATTTTTATATAATTCAATAGTTGACACCTCAGATAGATTTTTTTAACCCTTTGACAATGTGGGGATAAGGAATAATGTAGCTATAAATGATGTGTCTTTGCATAGAGATTTTTAATTCTTAGCTAGCCTTTGTTTTAAATTTTGTCACACTGAATTAATTGGCCTTCTGTGTATTTGATGTTTCCATATTATCTGGTCTATTTATTCTCTTACTTTGATTTGTTGTAATGAATGGTAGCAGAATTTAAAAAGGTAATTATTTGTCATGAAAGGCATCGCCTATGTTGGTAAAAAGTATGCGTCTTTAACCAGTGTTCTCCTTTTGGCTCAGAAAAGGGAAGAGGGCTGGTTGTTTTAAAATGAATAACATCAAATCTTACCCTTAGAAAGGCACTCAGATTATTTTGCTCTATTTTTTACATGATCTTTGGAAATTTAAGAACAAGATTGAATCATTTGAATCATGTATGAAATAATTTAAGCCAATGAAACTAAAGTAATTTACTATTTCCCTTGTCCTATCTCTCTGTGCTACAATTTCAACAAGGTGTTAGTATCCAGAAAATGTGAAGTAATTTGAACACAATTTAACTATTCATATTCCCAATAGAAATTAGTCGAAAATACTAGATGTTTAATAACAAAAGTTCACCTCTTGGTCTGAGCATAAACACAAAATTTTCTAGTCTTTTAGTTGTATCCTTGGAGAAAGCCCTCACCCAAAATGATAAAGTCTCCCTTGCCAGCTGCAAGACATAAATATTTCACAAACCTAAAATTAATGAGGGGCTCAAATATCCACAATACAATAGCAGCATAATAAATGCATTAAATGTTCCTAAGTTATCACCAAAAAATTTCAGGAAAGAAACAATTGGTTATAGAGCTACTACAATTGGTCATATAGTTAGGTTTAAATGTTAATGTATTGCTCTATGAAGCATGGACACTCCAAAATCGGTGCCGTGGCGGTGTCCGACACGCCGGGGACACGTATGGGACACGCCAGATGGCGTGTCCCTTTAATTTAATGATTTTTTTTAGGAGACACGGCAGAGACACGTCGGGGACACGCGTGTCATGGCATGGGACACAGCAAGGGGACACAGAGAAGGAGAAAGAGAAGACCTAAATCCTAAATCAAAAGAAGAAGAAAAAACAGAGAAAAGAAGACTAACCTGTTCGATCGATCTCCATGAAAAACAACTAGGGCTTCGAATTCGAATCGACTTGCGACTTCGATCTCCGAAATGACGAACAGATGTCGACTCAAATGAGAACCTAGATGTCGCGAACTTGAATCGACGAACCCACCCAGATGATGCGAACTGAAATCGCCTTCAATTTCGAACTGAAATGCCCTCTCTTGTCTTTCTCTCTCTCTCTCTCTCTCTGTGTGTGTGTCACCTCTCGCCTCTCTCTCTTCTTTTCCTTCTCCCGACTCTCTTCTTTCTTTATTTTTCTTTTTTTTAAATTTATTTTCTGTATAAATATATATACTTATATATTATATATTTTTATTTAGTTTTTTTTTTAAATTTATGTCTTTTATGTATTTACCATCATTCTATTTTCTTTTAATTTCTCTATTTAATTTTTTTACTTTTATAAACATATATACCTTTTTATAAATATATATATATATATATATATATATATCTTTTAGTGTTTCCTCTTTTATTGAATTAATGCTACTATGTTAGTGTTTGTTAATTTTAATTTAGGATGAATGCAATATAAATTTACATAATACATAAAAATATATTTTAAAAAAAAAAATTAGCCGTGTCCCTCGCCGTGTCCGTGTCCCCATTTTTTGGAAATTACCGTGTCCCGTATCCGTATCGGTGTCTGTGTCCGTATCCATGTTCGTGTCTGTGCTTCATAGGTATTGCTTATCCACAGGAAATATACATGGAAGTCTGTGCAGGCAACAAAGTTTAACTAGTTAAATTTGGAAGATTTATGTATTTATTGAACAGAGCATAACGTATTAAATTTCTACATTTAAAAGATATAACTGATAAGAAGAGATAGAAGATCAATATTCTGGCCTCCTAGTTCACCAGCTAAAAAAAGTAATCTCCGTGCATTTAATACTAAGTAGAATACGAAACATGTAGATCCGTGCTAAGCTATATACGTTTGGTATAATTAAATCAATAATTCAACTTTTCATAATAACATCCACTT